CCCCTCACCACCGAACCACCAGAGGACCCCTCACTACTGAACCACCAGAGGACCCCTCACCACCGAACCACCAGAGGACCCCTCACTACTGAACCACCAGAGGACCCCTCACCACCGAGCCACCGGAAAACTCAGTAACACTAAGCCACCAGAGCTCCTAATAAAAACAAAATGTATCATTTTAATACGTAAAAAGTAAGTTAATGGGAGATTTTCTTTAAAACACAGTCTATTAGATTGCTAGACATAAGATGACCAGTAATAATCCTAACACTGAAATAGAAATAGCTAATACAAAATTTCATAAGGGCAAATATTAGCCACAAGATGGCAGCAAACATTTAATTATATCCTGGTATTGAATGCTTTGAACACAATTCTTGCAAGCTGTTGAAAAGGCAAAATATTCAGTGACTTCGTTTGAGTCGTCTTCTTCATTAAAAAAATTCTACACGTGGTAAATGAAAAACTTAAGTCCTGCGCCAGTACCTTGTTCTTTGGGACTATTTCCCCACAATGAAGGCACCGTCGGGAGGCTTCAGTCCCATGTAGGTGTGCCTACTGTTGGGCCTCCTGCTATGGACCGTCCAGGGGGACAGACTTGGAGTTGACTGACCCCCGGGTGGGCTTTCAGAGGCAGGAAAACCCACAGGGGGACACTGCCCACCCCTCCCCATCTGAGCAGGTCATGGATTTGAACTGCGTGCCATTGGGTTTGCAGCACAACCCCCAGAGTGCCCTATAAGTATACAAAAGGGCTAAAAATGTCAAGAAAACAAAATTCTCACCACTCGGCCAGTAAGCAACATCATGACAGATGGGGAAAAGATTGAAATTGTTAGTGATTTAATCTTGCTTGGATCCACAGTCTCTTGGTACCAGCAGTCAGGAGATTGACAGACATGTAGTTTGGGAAAGTTCACTGTTTAGGGGTCTCTCCAAAGCCCTGAAGACCAGTGATACCAGTTTAAAGACTGAAGAATGCCCGATTGAAGCCACAGCCTTTCCTGTCACCTGCTGTGTGTCTAATGCATGAGGGTGACAGGAGGAGAATTGATGCATATCAATTGTGGTATTGTGGAAGGGTGCTGAGTACACAGCAACTGCCAAAACAGCAGACATCTCGGAGAAAGTGCAACCGGCACGGACCTTAGGGGCAAAGACAGTGAAATTTCATCTCACATGTTTTGAACATACTGTTAGGAGAGGCTATTCCTTGGAAAGAAACGCGATGCTTAGAGAGGTCAGCAAAGGAAAGGAAGACCCTGGAAGATGGATTGACACAGTGTCTGCCTCCGTGGATCAACTGTGTCAAAGATGTTAGTGATGACATAGGGCAGAGTTCAGACCTGTTAGTCATAGGCTTGCTGTGAATCATACGAGATGGCACTTAACAACAATCCCTTATTTATATGCCAAACTAAAGCCGAGAGTCAGGATTGGCTGGCTGTGCATCTGAGAGCTGGACAGTGAATAAGAAGGACAGAGGCAGAATCAATGCCTTTGAGTCGTGGTGCTGTAGAGGAGTGTTGAGCATACCATGGACTGCCAACAGGACAGAAAGGTCTGTATTGGAGAGGATGAAACCAGTTTATTCTTGGAGGCTAGGATTTTGAAGCCCCATCTCCTACACTTTGGCGTGTTGCAAGGAGGAACCAGAGCTTGGAGACGGGCATCATGCTTGGAAGGGCATAGGGTCTGCGCAGAAGAGGAAGACCCTGGATGAGATAGATGGACAGAGTGACTGGGAATATGGGTCAGGTGTGTGTGAGACAGTGACGTTGGCTCAGGACAGGGAAAGTTCAGAGGGACCCAGGGATCCTAGGGTCGCTCTATAAGGCATAGTCGACTTCCTGGATGGCACGTAACTATAGCAGCAGGGTATTGGCTTGAGTAGAGCTAACGTGAGAATGCCGAGATCATTGTTCCTAGTCAAATGCTTCTCTCCCTCTTCATCAGTACCACAAATTCCATTTTTTCAGAATTTAAGGGTTAACATTTTTTCCTTGAAAATTTTCTCTCTTAAGAAACTTGTGTATGTATATACTTGACCTTAATTGTACAGCCTTAATTGCATAGTTTGCACTCTTACATTTCAGTTGTCAGAGGTTTAAATGATAGCCTGATAGAAGCCATCGCTTTTATTATTCATAATAGACATTCATTAACAAATGTGCGTACGTAAAGCACCTGGCCTGCCCTTAGTTGGGTAGTTTACGTGGTTGGCATTGAATTGATTGCCACTCATGATCCAAAAATTTGTTCTATGAGAACTGGACGCTTTGTGCATATCAGCAATAACAGAATCCTTATGGAAGCAGTTCCCCAGGCTTTTCTAAAATGTTGCCACTGCGTAGATTGGACCCGCTAAAGTGTAGCCGAACATTAGAACTCTTGGGCCACTCAGACTTTTCCTTTTTTTATTTGTTTGGCAGTTTAGAAATAATCACTGTGTTTCAGTAGTAACTTAACAGTGATTCTCTGAAAAATCATACTTCCCTATATTTTGGTCATATCATTACTAACTATGTGTAATGATACTATGTTTTTGAAGTTGTAAACAAAGTTTTTTAATTAAGTATATATTAGACTGGAGATAGAACATATGTGAGAAGAATTAATGTTCATAAATCAGTGTTTATAATAACATAAATAGTATATATGGGAGTCAGGTGGGTAGTGGGAAAGGAGTTGCACTACCCACCCAAAGGCAGGTGGTGTGAATTTCCCAGGTATCTACGGGAGACAGGTGGGCCGTCTCTTGTCTTTTGATTTATAACCTCTGAACACCTGCTGGAGGATCAGCAAAGCGTTGATTGCTGCCGAGTCGAGCACGACTCATAGCCTCACAGCGACCCTCTGAATGGAAGACCTGAAGCCTTTCTGTAACTGTCGTCTTTTCTCAAAGTTGATAGCGTTTCCAGAGGCACATTGTTAGGAACTGGATGCCATTCCTGCTTTGAATTGTGTATGTTAATACAGTCTTTTATTGAAACTACTTTGTTATTTTTGTAGCCTCGAGTCAGAACTGACTCATAGTTGACCCTCCAGGGGTTTTCAGAGGCAGTAAATGGTACTCAAGGGAATTGTCCATCTTCTTCTGCAAAACAGCTGGTGGATTGAAACCACTTGCCTGAGGTTTGGCAGTTCCATTCTTTACCCACTAGACCGTCAGAGCTCCCTTCTACTTTCTACTACTTTCAAGGTCAAATCATAGTTTAAAAAGACCTCTTTTTCTAACAATCAGAATGAATTTAGGTGATGATGGAATGATGCTTTACTAATCCTGGTTATTGTGCAAATGAGAAGGCTTGAAACAACCAGAAGTTGTAGCCTGGAAACATGCTTGCTTTGCGGTAGCAGGGAGTTAGCAGCAGCTCTGGGGGCCTGGTGGTGAGACTCTGCACTGCTATCCCAGAGGTACGCGGTTTGAATCCATCTGCTGCTTTATGGGAGGATGGGCATCTTCCCGCATGTGGTTAACCGCCTCTGCAAACCTGCTGGAGGGTCAGCTGTGGGTCGGTTCTGACTCAGTGGGACACAACAACAGTGATAAAAACCTAGTACATAAGGACTTGTGCTGACACCCAGAGGTAGACAGTTCTAATCCACCAGCTGCTTTGCAGTCTCTTCCTGTCCCGGACAGCCTCTGGAGGGTCAGCTTTGAGTGGGTTCTGACTTGATGGGACACAGCACTGGAAACGTGAAATAGCATCAGGCAAAGTTGGACAAAGCAGAAGAGCCAAAACAACGTTTATACATTTTATCATATATTACAAGGCTTTTGTAAAAAACAGTATATTCAAGCTTTGCAAATAAATCATAAAAAATTTTTGACATTTAAAAAAAAATATTTCTGTACCTTACCTTGTACCTTGTGATCTCGGTAGGCAAGATAGATCAGGCATTTTCCATGAGAAAAAGTTAGAAAGAAATGGTATTTTATGAAGTTGCATACAGTTCTCTAGCTACAGTCACATCCCTGAAAGGAAGAGCTAGGCAGCTTGACTTGCACCGCCCAGATTTAGACATTTACACTCGGTTAAAATCGCTTTCTTCTGAATACCCAAACATAATTGGGTATGTAATATTTTAATTATGGAGATTAGTTGTTTAAGGTTAATTTTATTAGTGGTTTGTGGTGTAAATAAAGGGTTTTGATACTTTTGGGTTGTAATACTTTTCTCAGAAAAATGCATACCCCAGTTTTTTCTCCATATCAAGTGATGTATTGGACAACCAACCCCCACCTCCCAATAGTTGGTTCACAGGTAGTAGTCTGATTTAGAATGCTAATTGTGGAGGAATGAGAAATAGAGAATTAAGTCTTAATTTGATGACTATCCTAGTCACCTCAAGGAAGAAGTTGGCGGATCCTTGTTTCACAGAAGGCTTTATGCTTAAGTATTAACTCAGGTCTGGTGTCAGTTTTTCTAACATGTTTTAGAATTGTTGTGAAGACACCATACTGAGTTCTAATGCTCATTCGTTTGGTATCCATGGTCCTTGTGTTTAATTATTCCTTTACAAAATATTTTTGTTATAATTTCAGATTAGAAATGGAAACATTTCAGAGTAGAAATTATATCAAGCACATTAAAAAATCTTGAGCCGCTTTTTCGAATAAATATTCTCATAGGGAAGTATCTGCACGCTTAAAAAAAACTGGTGCTTTTTATATTTAAAAATAATAAAACTCTTGTCAACAGGAGAGTCTTATTTACACTGCTGACCCCGAATCTGTTGAAGTAAATACAAAAGATATGGACAGTACATTGAGCAGAGCATCAAGAGCAATAAAAAAGACTTCAAAAAAGGTAAGGTTTCAGTGAAATGATTATTTAATATGTCTCTAAATTGTGTCTTTTGGAATACGATACTAAAATGTAATATTGCCCCAAACAGTAGCATATACATAGGTTGTTTAACAAATAGCCGGCACAACAGATATAACTTACTGCCTTTCCGATTATAGTGATGCCTTTAAGAAACATACTTCAATATAATATAAATCTGTAATTGATGTTTAGATCTAGAAATGTGTATATTCATCGTAAATGCTGCCTGAGATTTGCCCCAGAGAACAGATGGTCAGGACACTAGAATCCACTTCTGATTCTGGCAGAGTGCTTTCCTGGTGCTGAAGAGAACTTACCGTATAAGGGTTCTTCAGGCCTATTTAAAATGTTGATGGGACTTTAAAAAGTAGATCTGGAAGGTTAGTGTCCTGGGGAATTTTGCAGCCACGTTGTTGGACTGGTAGATAATAGTTCTTTTTGGTTTGGTTGTCTTTCCCTTTGAAGAAAGACCTTGCACTTGACTCCTCTTTGTATACCTCAGCACACGTAAGATGTGTGATGTGCATATAGACAGGCCATCTCTTTCAGTGAAGAATTGGAGGTTCTGGATAGTTTTGGAGTCATCCGAGATTGCCTAAGTCAATGGGCAGAATCCATCAGAAACTCCGGTTTCTTCTCTTGCAGGTCAAGTTTTTATCCCACTTTGTAGGGCTTAATTCCAGTCCTGTATCGATTTAAGACGGACTAGTCCACAATATACTATGTTTTTCTTACTGCTTTGTGTTTCACATTATTTGAAGGAAAACTTTTGGTATACCTCATGCAGAAATGTTCTTTTAGCTCTGTCAGGTTTGTGTGAGCTTGGTTGACTATGCTCTTCTTCAATCTAGGTGACACGAGCGTTCTCTTTCTCCAAAACTCCAAAGAGAGCTCTTCGACGGGCTCTGCTGGCAGCGCAGAGTTCGGCCGAGGGAAGAAGCCCTTCCAGCAGTGACAAGCATGTCATGAGCCGGCTGTCCAGCACCTCATCTTTGGCGGTAAGTGACTTTGTGTAGTGGACTCAATAACATTCTCCTGCCTGTGGAGTTAGTGTGGATCTTGTTAACCTTAAAAAAAAAAAACAACCAAAGAACAAAACAAAACGAAGAAAACTAGGTCTTATTGCTTCTATCACTTTTTAGATTCCAAGCCTTTGAAGTGAATAAAGGCAACTAACTGATAAACCTTAATGAACACTTCATATGCAGTATGTTAGATATGGAAAGCTCCCTGGTGGCACAGAGCATAATGTGTTAGGCTGCTAACTGCTAGTCAGAAGTTAGACTTCATCCGTGTATCGGAGAAAAATGGAGTATTTCTTCCTATAAAGATTTGTGGGCTCAGAAACTTGATGGAGGGTTGCTTTTGAATTGTCTTTATATAGGGTTTTGTTGGGATTTGTGATATGTTTTAAAATCTTTAAGAGGCTGCATAGTGCAGCCTGACCTATAACTTTGTTAGTGAGAAATAGCAATCATTTGGTTCCTACAGTTTGGTTCCCATATAGAGCAGAGATCAAACGTTTTATTTCTTTCACTCTCTCTTATGTGTAGAATATGATCAAAGCTATGAATTTCAGAATTAAAAGGATTCTAAATTTTTTTACACTTTTTTTTAATTGAGATTTTAACTCAAATTTACAGAGAATTTGGATTTCCATTCATTCTGTTTTGTACATTTTCCTCCCTACCCACCCCCTCAGTTTGCTTTTCTCTTTGGAAGAAAAACACCCTAAACTTTCATTGTTGCACAGTTTTCTCTCTTATCTTCCCGCCCCCATCACTTTGTTACGGAGTTTATTCTGGACCCTTGTCATGCATATAATACCTAATCATATATTCCTTTTAAGCACTTCTTTCCCTCGTCTGTTTCAATGCAGTGTACATCATTTATCCCCTCTTTTCTTAGTTTCCCACCAACCCCCATGTAAGTCCTATTTTATAACAGTGGCTTTATGCAATACTTGTCTTTTTTGTGATTGAGATATTTCACTCAGTTTCATGTCCGTTTTGTATGAGTTTCTTGTTTTTCGGTGCTGTGTAGTATTGTGTGACTATACCACAGCTTCTCTCTCCCATTTGTTTGTTGGTTGGTACTTGGGTTGGGAACAGTGCAGCAATAAACAGAGGTGTGCATATTATCTGCTTGGGTGGCAGCTCTCATTCTACCTGCCAAACTTGTTTTTCAGAGATACTAGAAGGAAATAAAGATTTATCAGATTTTAGAAGGTTGTACTCTAGTAATCTTTGTGACATTTGTGAAGATTTAGAAGATATGACAAGCAACAATGGAAATAAGGCTTGTGAAATTTAATGTGAGCTTATTAGCTTTTGACATCTTTATTTGTGAAAACCTCAGAAAAGAGGTGGACAGTCTCCGCCCATGTAATTTACAGCCTCTCAAAAGTACTGGTGCATCAGCTGTTAGGACAGTACATAACAATAATTTATGAAAAGTAAAAATAGTCTTCCTTCATGGACTCATGTACTAGCAGGACTTTTGTTTTTATTATTTTTGTAACTGCTTTGGATTTGCAACATTTTTGCCATAATGGAACTTTCTGCACATTGACACACAAAGAAAAACAGCTTTTGCAAGGTAATTTATTCTTTAGTCTGTAATCACTTGCGTTGGAAAAGAACAATAATATTTTTCATGAAAAAGAGATTTAGATGTCTAATTTGATTCTTCTTTTTAAATATATGGCATTTATATAAAGTTCATGATTTTAAAATGACATATCTTAACTATTTTTCTTCAGGAAAATAGAATGTTTTTCATTATCTGTTAAATCATAATGTTGTTAGCACATTGATAATACTTGCCAGCTCAGTTCTTGAAACACTTCATTTTACTGCTTTGTTGATGAAAATTTAGAGCCAGCTACTTGTTGGCTCTGGGTTTGGTTAGCCATTTAGATACATTAAAATAAAACAGTAACTTTATAAAAATAATTTTAATTTATACCCTCTTTTGCATTGTTAGCATTCTCAATGTTTCTTGTTACTAATTCTGATATTTCACTTAGACCTCTGTCAATCAGTTTAGACAGCTTCGCAATCTCTATTATTAGAAGCATTTGTATAGTGATAGTTCAGAATCATATCTATATACCGGTATAGAACAAAACCGGTTTGGGAGCTTATGACTTAGGAGTTTTAGGGAATTATTTTCATGACGTTCTTTCTTTCCTTTGGGTTTTGTTCTATAATTGGGTTAAGTAGAATCCACTAAGATTGCACTTTTATCACTTAAAAAACGTGCCTATTAATGTATTACTGCAGTTTGGAACCAGAAATACTAAATGATTAGCATTACACAGATAATTAGTTACCTCAGTAAACTAGTATCTAAGTCTTATAAAAAAATACTGAACTACTATATTAAGTTAATAATTAGCTCACTAGCCTGTCCAGCCTTTTATTTTCAGAATGCTAAAAGAACTGTGTAATTACGTATTCTCCCCATCGTACTCTCCTAATTTGGAGGGATTTATTTAGTTAAAGGGTCTAGAGATTTCACATGTCTTAATTAATTGTCATAGTAATTTGTGAAAATAAAGATGATAATATGTGTAACTGTGTCTCTTTTTTTTTTTTTTTTTAAGAAAAAGCAATAAATATCTTGTCTTTACAGGGTATCTCTTCCCCATCCCTTGTCAGCCTTCCAGCCTTCTTTGAAAGGAGAAGTCATACTTTAAGTAGATCTACAACTCATTTAATATGAAACATAAGAATTTCATTACAGAAACTTCAGATGCCTCACACTCAAGCAAGAAACTGACGTAAATGGTACTTGGCGTTAGCACTCGGTCGAAGTTGGAGAGAAGATAAATAACACTATGCCGTTTGACTTTCCTTTTGAAAAGTAATGTTTACCTCTTATATTTTCAAAGAGTTAATTCATGTAAAAAATGATACTGATTTTGATATAATTTATTGTTTTGCTTGACTCCCTCATTTGGACACCAGCAATTTTAAGTTATTCATAACAACACTAGCTTTGGACCCCCGAGAAGGCCATTAACTTTTGTTGGTAGGTACTGAATACTGCTCTGAATCCACTAGTCTATTGTTCATCAGAAAATTTATGGAAATACATATTTGTATATCTCAGTTTGTGCAGAAATTAGGTGGTATTATAATGCATAATGGGTAAAACCCAGCAGTTTTTTTACTTAACTGCCTTGTTTCACATGTGTTGTTTGAAGCAGTGATTTAACTACTACTTGACATAGTTCATTTTCTTAAATGTTCCAAGATGTAAAACATGATTTTGAAAAGCTTTGCTCTTTTTTTACAAAGAAAACAGTCAAAAGAGATGGGATCAAAATGCTATTGTAAAGTGAGATAAAAACAAAGATTTAAAAATTTGGTGTTTTCTGCACAAGCAGTATAGACATAGACTAGTAGCTAATTCAGAAACAATGTATTTATGGTGATATAGTTACTAGCAAATCTTAATTTAGTCTGATGGTGTCTGGAATCTTATTTTGAAGAATACGACTGTGGAAAATTGTTGTAAAGATTCTTTATATGCTGAAGTTGCTGTCCGTTTTATCAGTCTGTAGTAGAATGCATAGATTTGTGTATAATCTTTTTTCTTGTGAATTCATAATTAAATGTAAAATTAAAATTTATTTGGTGTTGTAAACTATTTGTCAAACCTTGAAGCTATCCATCACAATATGTATATATTTTTAAAGTAATCACATTCCTATGAATCAATGAATTTTTTCTACTTGTGTGAGAAGTAGTGTAAGAGTTTAATTGCCATTTAAAAATTCTTAATTATCTGCCTTAATGGTTTAAATGATGAGATGCAGATATTTTATACCATGTATCACTTTTGAGGATAGCAACTGATCCTTTATCACTGTTTTTTAGAAGCAGTTGTATTAGTAAAAACTTTGTAAATAAATACTCAAGACTTAAAGATATTTCAATGTCTCGTGTTTTAATTTCTTCACACACATTGTAAATAGGCCGGTGTAAGTTCCTTGTCAACGTTTGTTAGTATTTTTCAACACTGTGTAACACTCTAGCTGTCTAGACAATGGTTGTGTGTCACTGAGTTGCAACTAACTCATATCTTAGCCTCCAGTGGGTTTTCAGAGGCGAAGAATCACGTAGAGGGCGTTCCCCCATCCTTCCCTGGCACAGCAGCTGTTGGCTTTGAACGCTGTGCCCTTGGGACAGCAGTGCAGGTTCTTACGTCTGGGGACCAGAGCTCTACCTGGAGGGTTAGGGTTCTTTATCTTCACCCACTTTGTAGAATGGAGAATGTCATTTCTTTGGTGGAGAATGGTGGATAAACTTTGTATAGCTTGTATGTTGTTGAGTTACTCAGAGTCAGAACCTACCCATAGCTGACCCTCCAGCGGGTTTTCAGAGACAGTTAATCACATGGGGGGTGGGGGAGATCGCCCGTCCTCCTACAGAGCAGCTGGTGGCCTTGAACTCGGCTTTCGAGGTCGCAGCTTCTGGCCACCAGGTCACCAGAGCTCCCAGATGGGCATGGCACAGGTGCATTTTTTCCCCCCTTGAAGAAAATATATAAGCTTTTATTGTTTGGATGTTGAAACTAAGACCCTCTTCCTTCCTCTGAAGGGTCTTCCAGATAGAGAAAATAGTATGAATCATAAAATTGGAATAATAATGATATATCTCAGCCACAGGTAATTAATTCTAATATTAACTATAACTGCTCTGGGTTTTTTGTATGTTCCTGTTGTTAATTGATGAGAATATCAGTACACCTATTCCTCATTTATTCTTCTCTATTAAGACAATTCTGCTTTATTTATTGATCTTTAATATTCTGGGTTACATTAACAAACTTTCTTATTTTCACTCTTAAATTGTCAAACTCCTTGGTCATGATGAATACAGAAATATAAAATCTAAAATCACAGATAGAAGAGAGACACACAAGAAAATGTGGTACTCCGTGTGAAAATCTGGAGAAACCAGATACATTATAGCCAGAGCTGATGCAAGAAGCAGAACTGGAATGAGCCAGTAAACAGAGCTAGTATAAAGGTTAGATACGTGCACTACAAGAAGATGCAAGGTCTAGCTAATTTGAAAACTGATTTCTAACAGGAACGTTAATGTGTAGTGATAAAATACGTATTTAAAAAGTATTGGCAGCTGTTCAGTGTATTTTTATAAAGTTTTAATATAAGCATAAAATTAACATTTAAAAAGGGCAGTATAGGAACAAAAGTACTAAGTAATTTCAGTTGGCTACAGAATCAAGCATGCCAAATAAAATATTAACAATTTAAATTTAGAAGTATAGTTTTAAAAATACAGCCTAATTAAGTATATAACGATTGGATTTACTAATCGCTACACTTGATCTGAACTGACGTAAAAATCCTAGTCAATGAAACAGTACTTAGTCTAAAGGAAGAGTGAGTCAATTAGGTGGCATGAAGCATGGCTGGAGCATGTAGTACAGTATGTACCTGGTATGTTCTCATCTGTCCAGGCTTCGGAGACGGAAAATTGAAGTATATTCCTTAACTCAGTGCGGTTGTAGAGTCAGAATAGGGATTGCTTTTCCAGTTGTTCTAATACTAATGCTAACTAGCTTTTTGAACTACTTTAGGACTTCTACGTCATCAAATGAGCGTTCTTCCAAAAAAAATAGAAGGGTGGTTCATTGGTAGAAAATTAATCAATATGACTTATATTGACAATTTACTGGGGAATAAGCATATGATTTATTAATAGGTTCCAAAAGGTAATTTAATAAAAATAGAACTCCGATACTCGACTTACTAAAAATTCTAAGAGCTTATGACAACCAAGTTATGCTTGGTTTATGAAGTATGTTTTAAAAAATTCATAGATAATTGATGATAAAATTATGAAAGCTACCAGATGTGACCAATAGAAATCAGAGTTAGACGTGCAAACCAGTACCCAAGGTGAGATGTAGAGAACTGAACCCAGGAGGTGGGCCTTACAGGACAGAAGAGTCCTGCTTCATCCTGATGGAAGTGTAGGGGAAAGGAAGCTGGGACCATGGAAGGCACATGAAACCCCTTCAAAAAAGAGATTAGCCTGTTATAAAAGATCCTTTAAAGAGTATGAAATGAAAAACCGAGGAGAATAAACAACCGGCAGAATCTGCATTCCAGTACTAGAAATAATGGATCAATCAAAATGACACTTATTAAAAATTAAAAAGTATTAAAATTAAGTCAATGAATAATGCAACAACATGATAAAAACAGCTGGACTTAAAAGGGAAAAAAGTTGAACTTAATAGAATTGTAAGAGCTGAGAAGAAATCTAGTGAATTGAAAGATCAAACAATTTAGTACATGAACAACTTAATTTCCAACAGAAAAGCTCACGTGAAAAATTGCGAGGAGACATGTGCTGTCAAGATGTCTGTGACTCATAGCGACCCTATGCACAGCAGCTCTGACGCCTGCCCAGTCCTGAGCCAATCTGACTGACCCACCAACCCCATTGTCCCAGGTACTGTATCAATCCATCTCATCCAGGGTCTTCCTCTCCTGTGCTGCCCCTCCACCCTTCCGAGCATGATGTCCTTCTCCAAGGACCAGTCTCTCCTGGCCACGTGCCTAAAGTATGGGAGACAGAGTTTCAGAATCCTAGCCTCCAAGGAGAAACTTGATTTCACCCTCTCCAAGACAGACCTATTTCCTTTCTTGGCAGTGCCTGGTACGTTCAAGACTTCTCCAACACAACTTGAAGGCATCTATTCTTCTGTCATCCTTAGCCATTGTCCAGCTCTCTGAAGCATAACAAGTAATTGAGAAGACCATGGCCTGGATTAGGTGCTTCTTTGTATCTAGACTGACATCGCTGCTCTTCAGCACTCTGGAAAGGTCCATGACAGCAGATTTTCCCAATGCAATTTGTCTTGATTTCCTGACTGCTGGTGTTAAAGAGTATTGATTGGAGATCTGAACAAGCTGTAATTGTTAACTACCTCAATCTCTTCTCCATCTGTTATGGTGCTGCCTGTTGGCCCAGTGGTGAGAATCTTTGCCTTCTTGATGTTGAGCTTCAATCCATTTTGAGAAACAAATGCCACACATACGTTGGGTATGTTGCTAGGAGGGGCTAGTCCTTGGGAAACAACAACAAACTCGGAAAGGTGGGGGGTCAGCAAACGAGAAGACCTTCAGTGAGATGGACTGACACAGTAGTAACTGGGCTCAAGTGGGATGTCGTGAGGATGGCACAGGATAGAGCAAGATTTAGACGCACTGTTCAGAGGGTCGCTATGAGTCGTAGTTGAGGCAACAGTACACCACCATCACCACCATCACCACCACTACCACAAATTTATTGTCGTACCAGATTGTCAACTCCCAGCACAGAACTTGGCAGATATTAGGTTCTCAGTAAATGTTGTAATTGTTCCAATGCCTGTTGGAGAGTTCTTTATAGGGAAAGTGAACCAAACATATCACTGGCATGAAAAATAACAGCTTCCTATTTATGTTTAAATATCTTTGGTGCTTTTATTCTTCTCAGATGTTTGATGCACCTCAGGCAGAATGTCGATTTTAAGAATGACAGTGAGGAGTGTTCAGGTAAGAGATGTGAGAGATGGCAATTTTGAGACGTTAGACTAGTCCAAAAGGTGGACATGTTGCCTGGCTGCAAGGAGTGCGGAAAACAGATAACCTTGTAGCAATCTCATAGCAAAAAGGGAATTTGCCCCTCAGACAAATTGCCCCCACAAAGAAGAGCTGGAAAAGCAGCTGTATGAGCTTGCATGAACGAGGATTTTGGACTAGTATAATTTTTGTAAAGATTGAATACAT